GGTCTCCCCCGGCTCCGCTGCTGCTGCCGCCACTGCAAACCACTCCAGGGTGATGCCATAGACTGTCTGCTTGGCGATGCGCACTTCCACGTGGGCTCCCGACTCAGCAGGGCCAATGGGTGCCCAGCCCGGGGTGGCGGTGGGTGCCCACGGGGACTGCACATGGAGAGCGATGGCCACCGAGGTGTTGCCCAAGAAGTTAGCAGCTGTGCAGGTGTAGTTGCCAGCATCTGCTGGGCGTGCTGCCGGGATGAGCAGCTCTGAGCGCACGGTGTCCTCGCTGACGGGCTCCGTGGACACTGCAGGCGAAAGGGAGTTGTGTTAGCATGCAGAAGCCCCTTTGGGTAGTCCCAAGATCAGTCTAATGTGGCATGTGGGCCAGGAGGCCAGGCAAAACCTGCCCTGCGCCAGGGAAAGAGGGGCGCAGGAGTGTGCCAAACCCCACAGAGCTTGTCAACAAAGCATTTTCCAGGTTGAAAGGCAATAAATGCACTTGGACACCCAAGCATGGGAGACAGGGAGTGTGTCTACCCCAGCACGAGCAGCTGGGGAGGATGATGTGGGCAGAGGCCAAACCACATGTACGCCATCTGCCATCAGTGTGCTCAGGTCAAGGCAAGCCAGGAAGAGCCACTGAGGGGCAGCAGGCACAGCTGCATTTTGGACAAATGCTCTGTCCTCCATTAGGATTGAATGTAGAAAAATGTCTGCCTCAAGAGGCTAGGGCTAAAAAGAGGTGTGTGGAGCCAGGCAGTGTTGCGCTGGAAGTGAGATGCAGCTTTAAGAACAGTATGAACACCCTGTTGTCTACCCAAACAGGGGCACATGGCTGCGGTTGGGAAAAGCCTGTGTGTAATTAATTCAGCATGTGCTTGCAGAAAGATGCACAAGTGCTGCTACAATGCTGCAATTAAAGCAAATATCAGCCCAGGATTAAGGGCTAATGCTATCTTATTTAGCTAGCTGGATTATTAGGAACCCACATGCGTTATTAGCTTATCTGATGAAAATAGCAACTTGCCCTACTGAAGACTCAGTAAAAATAAATGCGAGGGAGGACTTGTAAGACCCAAGCTGGATAAGGAGAAAGAGGAAAAGGCCTTCTATTTCAAGGCCCTCAGTAAAAAAAAATGTAAATAAGCAAAGGTTATGGAGAATGACAACCTCTGTTTTGGTTATAGAACATGAATGGATACAGACAGGCAACAAGTCTGCTTGGTTTTGTGGTTTGTGGGGATATTTCTGAAGAAAACATGGGAGTAGTGTAGAAACGTGCAAGTGTGCATGTGTGTGTGCTCTCCTACAAACACACACGTGTACATACAAATATATACTGTGTGCATATATATGTAATATATCATACATGGCATTAATGAGCTTCATGTCTAGATAACTACAGATTTATTGTGTATGTGTGACTGATGTATTATTAATAGTTCTTAATATCATGTGTGGTGATGAAAGAGATACTACTAAAAATCCATGCATAGAATCACGGAATAGTTGAGGTTGGAAAGGACCTTAAGGTCATCGAGTTCCAACCCCCCTAACGTGGGCAGGGACACCTTCTACTAGACCAGGATGCTCGAGGCCCTTGAACACTGCCAGGGATGGGGCATCCATAGCCTCCTTGGGCAGCCTGTTCCAGTGCCTCACCACCCTCACAGTAAAGAACTTCTTCCTTCTATCTAACCTGAACTTCCTCTGTTTAAGTTTGAACCATTACCCTTTGTCCTATCACTACAGTCCCTGATGAAGAAAGAGTCCCTCCCCAGCATCCTTGCAGGCCCTCTTCAGATACTGAGAGGCTGCTGAGAGGTCTCCACGCAGCCTTCTCTTCTCCAGGCTGATTTACATAAAATAATTGTGTAAAAATGAGGCTCTGCTCCTTTCATCTTTGATTGATGTCCTGCATGAAGCAGCTGTTCTCAGGCTGGTCAGGCATGCTTAGGCACGTGGGATGATTGAGATTATTTGGATTAGTGCCACCACAATAACTGCAATGCTCTGAAGGGTTGGAGAGCTGGTGTGGTCACTGTGATGGCCTGAAGACCCATGCACAGAGAAGAGCAGAACATAACATAATTTTTTAATTAAAAAAAAAAAAAACATAAAGGAGAAAAAGCTTTACTTACCATTAAATGCCCTTAAAAGTTTGAGTGAATAGGTCCACCAGACAGCTGGGGAAGGGCTGGCTTGCACAAAGCAGGTCAGGGTGACATTCAGCCCCACTGAGACTGTCAGGTTTGTGTCAAGGGCTGAGGTCAGGGGCTTCATGCAGCTGTTGAGCTCCACTTCATAAAAAAACTTCCCTGCCCTGAATTTTGGGCTTGAGCAAGTTAAATAGGAATTCATGAGAATAATAGGGGGGCCAACTGACTTGATAAACTGGACAAATCCCCGCAGGCGGCAGTCACAAATCCAGGGGTTGTCATGAAGAGCCAGGACAGCATTGGAAATAGATTCTATATGCCCCTCTGCCCTCTGGCTTCTCTGGTAGACCGGCCAGCTGTAGAAGACATCCCTGGATATGACAGTAAGCTGATTTGAGGATAGATCTAAATAGGTCAGGTTAGGCAGATAGCGGAGCGCATGTTCTGGAAGGACATCCAGCCGGTTGTGCTTCAGATCCAGGATTTTCAGGGCCGGGGTGTCTTGAAATGCTGTCCATGGCACTGATCTTAATTTGTTCCCTTGCAAGCGCAGCTCCTTCAGAGCTGACAGATATTCCAGGCTCTTGATGTGCATCACTGTGATGTTGTTAAAATTGAGCCAGAGATACTCCAAGGCACTAACATTCTCAAAAGAACCACGAGGTAATTCTGTTAGGTGAGAATTTTCTATTCTAATTTTCCGGATGTCCTGAGGGATGTTTGCAGGGATCTGCCTCAGCAGTGCAGACATGCAGAGCAAACTCCTAAGGAGGAAACCAGAAAATTCTCCAGCTTGTACACCATGTTCATGGCTAACAAACCAGTTCCCTTTATGGGTCTACAAGCACTTGAATAATTAAAAGGTATTATATACAGGGCATGCATAAGCCATACATCCTTACTTCCTTGGGTCTTACATCCATTTACCCACAAAGAATACAATTAAGTTATAAAAATTGCTACGTATGCAGCTACGTATCTCAGGGAAATAAAAGGAATTTCATTCTATGCTGAAGCTAGTACTATTCAAGTATTAGAGGAGGCACACCATGAGACCATCAGTTTGGCTTTGGTGCTCACATCATCAGCAAACATACACTGGGACTCTCCAAGCTGCTTCAGTGGTGCTATGACTAGGGTAATTAGTCTTACCTTCCAAAGCTGTCTTGAGAACAAGAGCATCCTGTGATACAAGATGAAACAGACGGGTTTATCTTGTGGAAGGCCAGAAGAAGAAGAAAAATATGACAAATAGGGTCCATATTCTCCTTTAAGAAAGCACTGTGCACGGTTTGCACCAAACATGCCAACAGCCTCCAAGAAGCAAATCCTATTATCTGTAATCTTTCTTGACGCAGAAATAAATCCTGCTGGGGACCCATCCCTAAAGAAGCCATGTAGTAAGGTTCATAGCCTATGTCGAAGTGCTAAAAATCACCCTTGGGACCACCCCTGGCACTTATTCTTCATTTTGTTGGTAATATGAATATGGAAACAAAACCACTTCTGTTCCCAAGCCCTCACAAGTACTTAACCAGGCCTAGTTACCTTTTTACCTTTCCCCCAAGGAGTCTGACTCAAGCTCCAATATTTTAATGGCATTTGTTAAGGCAAGAAAATAAACCACAGTAAAGGCCAGTTCGCTGCTGTAATTTGACAGTGCATAGTGCCATATTTCACATTCCATCAGGCCACAAACCCTGTTAAGGACCCACAAAGTCCATAACTTTGTGGAGGGTGTACTTTTGCACATGGTGCATATAAAAACTACTCCCCAGGCTTAGTGGCTCTGTCATGGAAACTTAAGTATGACACTATTTTTCCTCCAAAACAACTTCCCTCCCAAACTATCTCCATTCTTGCACACTGGTAATGAAAACAGCAATATAGCTTTTGCCACTCTGTGGACTTCTCTGAGAAAATGTCTTGGAAGTTAACCTCTATTATATAACTATAAAATTTCAGTGCTATTCTCTGGTTTCCCTGTAAGCCATGCTGATTGCCTTTTGGTCAGCTCGGAAAACTCAGTCTAAATAATTCTACGAGAAGGGATTTGGAGTCACCGAATTTATCTTCTTTTAATCCAAAATAGCAGGGTTTGTTCATAATTTCCGAGCAGCACTGTGTTCTCTTGGGGCCATCTAGTGTGTATGGGCTCCATTACAGCCTGCAGAAGGCAGCGTGCTGCCAGAAAAGGGCTTAACCTTGCTGCCAGTACGCGTGAAGCTGGGTCACAAATCAAGATTAGCCTGAACCTACTTAACCTCTAACCTGTGGGACCAGGATAGAAAAATATTTATAGTGTGACGGCTTATACCTATACATGGCTGTCGGGGGGTGTGCAATAGCAAAGCCTACCGAAGACAAGGATTGATTCTGCAGCTTTTAAATTGACAGGTGTTTTGTTTTCAAGGCAAATCTGCAAAATGAACTGGCAGGGAAACAGCTGGGAACTGTTGCAGTGCTTCCCGATTGCCTCCCATGTGCAAGCAGCAGGCCATGAGTAGCAGGGCTGTTGGGCTGCTGATGCTTGCTGTGCCCAGCGTCTAACCACAAGTATATGGGATTTTTAGTTTTCTTTTTAAACTAAAGTGTTCCTTAATTGTTCATGGTGCAGTCCTTGATATTTCAACAGCTGCCCCACATTTTAACATGTCAGTAAGCCATGAGTGAAGGAGAAAAGCTGCTGGTCTAGCAGAGCAGAGGAAGCAGCTATAAATCCCCCATCTGACTGTGGTGGCTGCTGGGGGACATTTCTTGGTGAAGCTCTTGGTGTTGCAGTGAGAGTGGCACCAATACAGCCCCCATGAGCTGAGGCAAACACTCATTATGCACCTACAGTGTCCCTTAAAGCAGCAAAGGGGACACCCGTCAGTGGAGCTGGCTGGCTTAAACTGGGAGTGCTGCAGGAGCGACACTGGCAGTTGTGATGGGAGGACGTGTCCTTTCCAAAAAACCAGCCCCCGCCCCCCCAGCCACTGAAGCAGAGGCCCTCAGGGACCCCATGCCCACCCTGCATGGGCATGGGCTTCTGGGGAGACAAGCACCACGCTCACCAGTGCCTTTGGTCCTCTTCCGTGATCTGCCATAGAAATATTCCCTAATGAAGTAACAATATTATTAATTAATAATAATA